GGCCATGACTTGGGCCTGTCTCCCCTTAGTCGCGGCCCAGTTAGGCGCGCGTGGCCCAAAATGCTGGCAGCATGGGCCAGTGTTTGAGCAGTCTGCCCAGTTCGACTTTTTACGCTTATTTTATGTTTCGGAGTCCGTTTTTAGTACCGATTTCGATTTTATAAATATTTTCAAGATGATATAAATTAGGGAAAATTATTTTATGTCCTGAGACTTCAAATTTAATTCTCCGAGTCCTATTTTTCAAAAATGAGAGAGTTCCAAGTTCACGAAAAATCCGATTCAAACCCTTAAGACTTAATTTTTATTAAGTATGGGTTTTATGTTAAATTTGAGTAGTGAGATAAATTATTGATAAATTATCTCGCTTAAATGTAGGTGTTTGAGGAGTCGAGCCTCATCCTACGTACTTGCTCTTGTGTGCAATTTTCTACCGAGCTATTCAGGTAGGTTTACTTATAAAATTGTCTATGCCATAGGTGTTGTTTAATGTATTGTTGGTATGATCAATGTATGCATGTGAACCATGTAGCCTACTGATGTGAGCTGTTACGGCCGTCGGTACGGTTGTCCCCGTCGAGTTACGGTACGGTTGCCATTGCGAGGCAACTCTCCTTAAGACCTAATGAAAGGCCGTGTCCGTTACAGTGGCACGCACTCCCGTCGTTAGGGTTTATGCATCCCCTTTCCGCGGCTAATGATAAATGTGCACATGAGTGAGTTATTGTTGTGATTGTTAGGAGATGAGACATGATGATTATTGATTTATATTCATGCTGCGACCATACCATCTTTACATGTTATTATGTGCATAGTAGTGAGCACTACTTTATCATTTGTGCTCATTCCCACCTGCTCGTCACGGATGCAGATTAAGCAGTGGTCGGGTGATGGGACGAAGGACGAGTGGTGGTTTATTATTTGTTTCGTTTTGCTTCCGCTTTAATAATATGGTCTTTATGAACCCTTCTATGTTTTGGACATGTGAAAACTGTTTTCGAACTATGTTTTGATGTTAGATAATATTTTGGAAAACCCTTTTGAACCTTGAATAATCATGGTGTTTGATTTATGAAGTTTCAGTTGTTCATATGGGATATTATGTTGAGGTGTGAATCAGGTTAATGAAAACCTTGTGAAAAATCGGGTTTATGAATCCCCGTGAGTCCAGATAAGACTTGGACTAGGTAAATTGGGTTGGTTAATGCCCTTGATTTCGAAAATGAATTTGAAAAATTTGTACTGATTTTTGGAAAGTCCAAAATTTCTGAAAAATCAAAGCGGGGTGTTACAGTTTGGTATCAGAGCCAGTCTGCGTTTCTGTAGACTGGCACATATGTGATTATGTGTTTAGACCTTGTGTTATGACCGCTCGTCTCCGTCACTCCGCGCTGCTTAAGGTATGTTTTGTTTAAGTATTAATGAAAATACTTGATATGTAAATAGAACACATGTGGTAATGAGACTACTTGTGGTTTAATTGTTATTTTTGGGGCTTAGGACCTATCCACCTTGATTTAATCGAACTCTAGTGTTTATTGACGAACTCTAGACTTCTATAAGTATTGATTATTTTGTTTGTTTTTGTGCTAAACTTTGTTCGGCTTATTCAATGTAGAAGTATGAATACTCGCAACAACAACCGTAACCGTCAGGCATCCCCGCAACCTTCTCCGCCTCGTCAGCACCAGGCCCCTCTGGCCATGGACCTCACTCAGCTTATCGTCTAGTTTCAGAGGATGAATGCACCCACTTTTGCAGGGACTGCAAACCCCACAGCGGTGCTGGAGTGGATGAAAGAGCTGGATAAGATTTTTGCGGTACTTCCCCTCCCTGACCGCCAGCGAGTGTCCCTAGCAGCTTCTCAGATGAAGGAGGACGCCTCTGACTGGTGGATTGACCACTGGGCCTGGAGGCCAGAGGCGGAGCTTCATGCTCTGACTTGGGAGCAAATGAAAGTGATGGTGCGCAGCATGTTCCTTCCCCAGAGCTTTTGGGATAGGATGGAGCATGAGTTCTACCACTTGCAGCAGGGCAGCTCCACAGTGGACGAGTATATCCGTACCTTCACAAGCATGTGCCTTTTTGCGGGCGACGCAGTGAATACCGATGCTAAGAAGGCCTGCAAGTTTCTCAAGGGGCTCAATCAGAGGATCCGTGAACTGGTGGGGAGTCACGGACTGATGTCTTTCACAGATACTGTTAGTCGAGCTCAGGAGGTAGAGAGCTGTCTCATTCCGATAGCCCAGTCCCTTCATATTATCATGCCTCCCAGCCTTCTCAGACCGTTGTTCAGTACGCTCAGCCCATCTCATCTGTGCCGCCCGGCTCTAATTCGGGCAATAGGAAGTTTGACTTTCAGAACAAGAAGAAGGGAAAGAAAGGAAATTTCGGCAGACGTGACGACCGACCCACTCAGGGTCAACAGCCGAGGTGCCCTAAATGCGGCAGGTTCCACACCGGAGAGTGCTTAGCAGACCAGCGAGCTTGTTACAACTGCAACCGTCCAGGTCACTATGCCAGTGTCTGCACCGAACCGAAGAGACAGCAACAGCAGCAGCCCTTTGCCCAGCAGCGTCAGCAGCAGCTTCCCCCACCGCCACCTCATCAGCAGCATCAGCAGCCCCCACCGTTCTAGCAAAGGGTTGGGGTCAGGCCCGAGTCTATACCATCACCCATGATGAGGCCGCCCGCAATGCAGGTACCATGTCTGGAATTCTTTCGATATCCCATGTGCCTGTCTTTTCTTTATGTGATACCGGTGCTACCAATTCTTTTATTTCTTCTCGTTGCTTGGAGGCTTTATCTATTGGCACCGTGCATGCTTTTGATCCTCTCGAGGTTAGTCTAGCCTCGGGAAAAACTATTATCTCTTATTCGGTGGTTCGCAACCTTCCTATTTGCATTGGTGGTCGAGTTCTGGAGGCCGATGTGTATGTTATCGAAATGCGAGACTTTGACGTGATCTTGGGCATGGACTGGCTCACCCGTTATCGAGCCGACATTCGGTGCCAGGAGCGTGAAGTCACCCTCTATCCCGTTTCCGATCAGCCTGTTGTGTTCTTTGGGGTGAGTTCGAGGACTGTGCCTCGGGTCATCTCTTCTATGCAAGCTAGGAAGAGCCTTTCCAAGGGTAGCTGTCAAGGCTATCTTGTTTCTATGGTATCCGACGATGTTGATGAGCGGGTGCCCGAGAGAGTATCTATTGTGTGCGAGTACCTCGACGTCTTTCCTGATGATTTGCCCGGAGGACCGCCCGACCACCAGGTGGATTTCACCATTGACCTAATTTCCGGAGCCGGCCCCGTTTCTAAGGCCCCTTATCGTATAGCGCCGAAGGAGCTTCAGGAGCTCAAGGCCCAGATCCAGGAGTTGCTTAAGCTCGGTTTCATTCGTCCGAGTGTCTCGCCGTGGGGTGCGCCCGTCCTATTCGTGAAGAAGAAAGACGGATCTATGCGTATGTGCATTGACTATCGGGAGTTGAATGCCCTTATAGTCAAGAACAAGTACCCCCTTCCCCGTATTGAGGACCTTTTCGACCAGCTGAAGGGAGCCAGCGTTTTCTCAAAGATCGACTTGCGTTCTGGCTATCATCAGCTGAAGATCCGAGAGTCGGACATTTCTAAGACTGCTTTCCGTACCCGCTATGGCCATTATGAGTTCGTAGTCATGCCGTTCGGACTCAGCAATGCCCCAGCCGTTTTCATGGACCTTATGAATAGGGTCTTTTATCCTTTCCTGGACCAGTTCGTCATTGTGTTCATCGACGACATTCTGGTCTATTCCCGAGATATCGATCAGCACAAGGAGCATCTGAGGATTGTGCTGGAGACTCTTCGCCGCGAGAAGTTGTATCCTAATTTCTCGAAGTGCGAGTTCTGGCTGAACCGTGTGGCATTCCTTGGCCACATTGTGACGGCTCGAGGCATTGAGGTGGATCCCAGCAAGATTGAGGCGGTGAGCAAATGGGATACCCCAAGAAGTTCCGCGGATGTTCGTAGTTTCCTGGGGTTAGCAGGATACTACAGGAGGTTTATCGAGGGCTTCTCAAAGATAGCTCAGCCACTGACCAACCTTACGAAGAAGGCCGTGAGGTTTGATTGAGTCCTCAGTGCGAGGAGAGTTTTCAAGAGTTGAAGAGGAGACTCACTACCGCGCCCGTCCTATCTATACCCGACCCTACTTTGGAGTTCACCATCTATAGTGATGCTTCGAAGATGGGTTTGGGATGTGTCCTTATGCAGCAGGGAAAGTCGTAGCCTATGCTTCGAGGTAGCTGAAGCCTCACGAGCAGAACTAACCCACTCATGATCTCGAGTTAGCTGCAGTTGTCCACGCCTTGAAGATTTGGCGGCACTATCTCTATGGAGGCAAGTGTGAGATCT